AACGGTTACGATGACATCAAACACGCAGTTTGGCAATGTACGGATAATGACGCCGCCAGAGAGCGACTTTTGAATACCCTCGAGGCCCAAGGAAGACAACCCTATGTTCCTATCAGAGACGTGTTGGCAACCCGTGATCTCTGCTATATGCAGTCCGTTTATGTCTTTCTTCAAATGTCTAGTATAAGAATTTAATTCATTTTGTCTTTTGTCTCTCTTTATTAGTTTTTGTTTGTCTTGTCCCCCCGTCTCGATGAGTCTCATCGTCGCCCACTGGTCACCCACCATAGCCGGTCAAACTCCGGACGAAGCTAGAACAGCACTACCGTTCATAGTGGCGACAACGCTCTGATGAGGCAACGAAACCCTACCCCAAGCTCCTCCCCTGATCCTATCCTTCGAAAATGTACCCTTCTAACCTCGAGTAAGCCACGAGTAATCGGCCCAACTCCTACTAGACATAGAATTAAGTGAATTTTGTTACACACAGTGAACAATGAATTATCGGCTCCGTAAAGCTAACGCGATTGAGCCTTCCAACTAGATAAAAAAAAAAAATGATGATCACTTGAAACCAAAGTATATAAATAAATTACATTTGGCGGTTGTTATAATTGATCAAAGTTATAGTTGAATTGAGTATAAGATGAACAGTTGAATCTATTAGGTAGATATGATTGAGTTGACGGTCGAATTAATGTTGAAATAACTATAGGTTTCTTTCAAATAACAATATTTTTCCATGTGAAAGTAACTATTAGGATTGTTATCTTAACTTAACGAATTTGTTCTCCGTGCATAGAGGTAATTCCAGCAATCAATACGAAACTAACGATTTTAAATTGGCTCACCACTGAAATTCATGTTCTATCTCTTTTACTATACTCAAAACTGAAATGCATAAAAAAAGTGAAAAAATTATACATTCTTTGCACACTGTCAAAGATCATTGCACACAAAATCAACAAAAATACAAGCCCATCTGGTGGCTTCTAAGAAAATTCTATTACAGCGAACCACATTATTCTTATTGATTTCTTCGCCAGTTTGTCGTCTGTCACTTCGTTTGTGGTCATATTTTATTTCGTGTGCTCCTGAGGTGCCTTTGATGGTATTTTCGTGTGTTCCTAGGTGTTTTGTGGGATTGTTAAGGCCGGCGCACAATAGATACGTTTTCAGGTTTTTTGACAGTTAGCCCATGCATTATCTGTCAAAAAACCCGAAAACCCTTAGCCCCCGTAGCCCTTAGTGTTTTGCATTGTTATTAATCATCCTCTATACTAGGAACACAGACAAACAGACGTAACTCTTTGAAAAAGTTTTTCTTGAAAACATAGTATCTCAAAACATAGGACCTCAGTAACGACATCTCTCGGGCTTTTCGCGGAAAACAAGCTTGCTCGATAACTCGCTAACAATATTGCATAAAAGTTCTATAGAATGTGTAGAAACGTCAAAGTGATCCGATGCCAGCACTGCGGCGAGTAGTTCGCGGAACTGATAATATTCAAATCAACCGTTAAATGCATGAACGAAGGTACACAATGAAGAGTTACGTCTGTTTGTCTGTGCTAGGAATATTTTGTAAAGTGGGTTGATGCCCATAGACAAGGGAGGCTATCTTGTCTCATAAGAACATCTTACCACCGACAAACCGACATAACACTTAATTTTGACTTATGCCCGAAAATCGTAAACGGCCGATTTAAATGTGCAGTGATCCGAACTGTCAAAACCATAGGATTTTTTGATCTAGATAAACATAGTTTGTCCAGAATAGATCAGAAACGAACCAATTCATAACTTTTGCATGCGGGTTCATGTCTTAGCTAAATATTTTCCGAAAACACGGAGCCAGATGTCAGTAGTGTGCTTTGGTCAGAAATTTTAAATTCTTTACTATGGTCATTCATGTCGGTTTGTCGGTGATCTTACCCCGCTTTTCCCTTAGTAAATCGTAGCGTACATCGGTCGTTATCACAGTTAGTTTTGATCGATCTCGGAACCGATTATTACTCCTATTATATACATAAGTATCATAGAGGTAACTCTAAGACCAAAAGGTCCCGAAGAAACGAGCTCAACTTTTTGGCTCAGCTCTGGTGCTATCTTCGGTCCCAAGCTAATCGATGCAGCCCTCGAAACATAGGAACATCCACGAACCCCTCATTTTATCTGTCAAACTTTCATAGCGAATTAAAACAAACATTGTGTAGTACTAGAATTTCGACTAGAATGCGGTACGTTAATCGATTTGCTTGGGACCAATAGGCTAGTCAAGTAGTGAGCCAATTTAAAATCGTTAGTTTCGTATTGATTGTTGTAAGTATCCCACGGTGATTGCATAGAATATGCGATAGTTATACATATCACCGACAAACCGACATGAAACTTATCTTCATTTTTTTTCTCGAATATATATAACGGCCGATTCAAACGTGCAAATTTTGTTTTTATCTAGATATACATAATTTGTCCCGAATAGAGATTAATGACGTTTAACGCACGCACACTGACGGCCGTTTCACCGTGTAATATTATTTAATATTTTCCACGGGTTAGCTCAAAATGTATGAAATCCGATCTGTCATAATGTCTTAAACGTATTTTCTTCGGACCAACACAACCGGTTGTGATAATCTCTACACGGTAAGAAAAAATACTCAAAATTAAGTTTAAAAAAACTCAACGTTGGGTTCTATCATTTGAGGCCCGCCGTTGAGTGAATTAGAAAAGCGGCGTTGGTTAAAATTTACTCAACTATTGAGTAATAATAAATGAACAACTCAAATATAAGTTTATTTTCATTGAGGTTGCTCTTATGCGCCTTTAACCATTTCACCCGTAATCTCAACGTCCATTGTTCGGTTCCAGTCTGCTCCGTTTTATTATTTTTTTGTCAACTTGGTCAACGTGGATTCATGATCAGGATTACTCAAAATTGAGTTTTCTTCTTTAACTTAATTTTACCTAGCCCCACGGAAGCCACGTGATGAGTGAAAGGAACTCAATTTTGGGTACTTTTTTCTTACCGTGTATAGATCAGACTTGAAACAACTCTTAAATTTTGCACTCGTGTTCGTGAATTTCACTACCGTGCAAGCACCATATTGTAAACAGCTCAATATTCTGAAAGGCAAGATACACTTAAAATAATTGAACATTAATGGAGCATGCTTCAACTTGGAAATAACGTTACCCTCCTTTACCTATGTTGTGTATATTTTTATTACAATAAAGAAGTCTCTCTCATAATTTGTGAAAAAAATTATAAAAAAAAAAATCAAGCAAAGAAAAAAACGTCAAAACTATGACCTTTCTACATCTTTCGTTTGTTTCTTCATGGTGCGAAGCACAAACAAAGTGACAGACGACTAACTGGCGAAGAAATCCATTAAAATAATGTGGTTCACAGTAATAGAATTTTCTTGGAAGCTTGTGCCATCATCCACCAGATGGGTTAGTTTTTTTGTTTTCATTTGAACAAAGTTGATTTTGTGTACAATGATTCTTTGACAGTGTGCAAAGAGTGCGTATCATTTTGTCATTTTTTTTATGCATTTCAGTTTTGAGTAGAGTGAATGAGATAGAACCAAAACATTCTAGTACATTTGGTGAAAATGCTAGTTCAATCTAATAGTAGTGTTGCCATGTGGTACAATCCAGTAGTAGTGGTGTTGCCATGTGGTACACTGAAAAATTGAAATAGCAGGTTAGTCACCAAAGTTTTCGAGCCGCTCCGTTTGTCACTTCGTTTGTGATTTTAGTGTAAGTGAGATTGCGCTTGGAGATCTCTATTGCACACAAAATCAACTATGTTCAAATCAAAACAAAAATACTAGCCCATCTGGTGGCTGACGGCACAAGCTTCTAAGAAAATTCTATTACAGCGAACCACATTATTTTCATTGATTTCTTCGCCAGTTAGTCTGTCACTTCGTTTGTGGTTTTAGTGAGTAAACTTTCGTAAATGTACTGTCGAAAATATAGCACAACATTTCACACTTTGTTCCTTAATGCTGAACATATAAAAGGCCACGCAAAAGGAGCCCAATTTACGACTTTTTGTAACTGGTCAAGGTGTTTAAGGTGATTATTTGTAGCGTCCTATATCTCACTTCTCTTCATAATTTCACAAATCAAAATATTAATACTTTTTTGAATGCTCGTAGCTGAAATTACTATTTTTTGTATGCTGCGGAGAAACAAGCAATGTTCGAAGTTAACAGCTTTATTACCCTCGTAAATATTGAGATGTGTGCTCTTGAAATTGCGAAGCGTAATAAGAACTAGGAAACACCTTAATATGGTCAGAAGAATTCTTGACTACTGTTATTGTGAGCTCTAGTAGTTTTAATGTGAATCGCTGTGGAAACCTTATTCCTGATTAATCGTTTTATCACCTCGAAGTTTCAAGAGCACAAATATCAGCTACCAAAATAAATACGCCAATGAAAGCGGAACTCCATACTTGCTGCAGAGCAACAAACAGAATATTCTAATTTCATGAGCGAAGAAGTAACAGTGCTCTAGAAAACTTGATGTGATAGGGTAGATCAGCCATCATGACGGCCATTTTTGGACTCTTCAAGAAATCACCTTAAGCTTAAGAACTCGTCAGCTAATAAAGTTCTGGACGTAAACAAACCTTTCGGAATAGATGGAATGCATGGTCGTTTTCTTAAATGTCTTCACTAAATAAAAGATGAATAATGATGCATCCAGCTTTATTTTATACTATGAGAAGGAATAATTTGTATATAGCAAAATTGTTTTCATTCAGATCCAGTTATGTTGAGATCTTAATCGTTCTATATGGTACTTGCACGGTACATTTTTTCCGCGATCATGGGGACAGATGTCAGTAGTGTGCTTTGAGCAGAAATTTCATGGTAACTTCTATGGGTATGTCGGTTTGTCGGTGGTAATTTTTCCTTTACAAGTTTACAAGTTTCTATTTCTGACATTTCTGACATTTCTTGACATTTTAAATTCATAAAATCGTACTATTAGCTACTTACACATTCATTTCGTTTTCCGAGTCCATAATATTCTTGTCGTGTTCCATAAATCCGTCGTCCGTAATACCGATTGGTGTTGCTTCATGTGAACCGGCTTTCTCTTCTTCTGCTCCTTCTTCGCCTTCACCTTCTTCTTTTTCAACTGTCGTTAAGGAGTCTGCATCGGCAAGGTTGTCCACAGCGATAGCCAAGAACACGTTTAGTAAAATATCTAGATGCGTAATTGTAGTTAAGCAAAATTTGAACAACTCTCTCATAAAAAAAATCAAACGATCAACCTACTAATCGTTGGTATGTTCCATTATATTCAAAGATTAAGGTTTTAAAAGGATACAGTTACCACAAATAAACAGGATTATAAAGTAAATGCTGGCTAATATACCAATTGATGCCACACCTCCATACGCCTGAATTCCATCGTACATAACAGTGTTCCAATCCTCACCAGTAAGAATCTTGATTAAAGTATTATACATTTATTTATTGATTCAAACATCTACCAAAATAGTTTTATGATAAAATACCTGAAACACGGTAAGCAAACTTTGAACGAAGCTATCAAAGTTCGATCGTGGTTTATCCACTTCACTATTAAAATTAAACTTTCCCCCGAATACTTGCATTCCAAGTAGAGCAAAAATAACGATGAAAAGAAAAAGCAACAACAAAAGTGAAGCAATAGATTGTATTGAATTCAATAGAGATGCCACCAGGTTTGATAAAGACTGCCAATACCTGTAAATAAGAACATTAATTACTTCGCTAAACTAGTATAATAGACTGATGCTAAATTTGAAATTTTTGCTCCACAATGCTCAAACGGTTCCAAATTGAGTCCTGATTAGCCTTTCAAAATTTGAGCTCATGTAGTAAGAAACTGACTTGGTCAAACCATTTGAAGTTTATATGGATATTACTATGATAACAACAAATGTATTGTTCATATCTATCTAACGAATATTGTTCTCCTTTAACTTTAACTTCTCTCAACTACAACTTTGATGAAGTTAGCAGACAACGTTGGTGTCTCTGGCGCCTAGAATAGAGCACAACAATCATAGCAACAATGTCACACTACAGAATACAGTGTTGCCCACAAATCAGCTAATATAAACTTCAAATGGTTTGTGCCAAGTCAGTTAGTTACTAAATAAGTTCAAATTTTGGGAGGCTAATCAGGACCCGATTCGAAACCGTTTGAGCACTGTGGAGCGAAAATTTCAAATATTGCATTAGTCTTCTAGTATGCCCTCTTCATGAGCAACTTACTTTGTTACTTTGAACACTCGTAAAAGACGAACACAGCGGAGTACAGATACTCCTAAAGGTGGCATAATCTGTGTGCTAGTTAATACCATCTCCCCAATACTGCCAATAACCACGAAACAATCAAACCGATTAAAGAGCGATACAAAGTAACCTTGGAACCCTAAACTGTACATTTTCAGCAGCATTTCCATTGTAAACAGCGCCACAAAAAACATGTTGGTGTATTCTGAAAAATAAAACAAAAATTAATAAATAAAATAAAATAAAATTAGGTGACCCAAAATCACAAAATTTACTTGAAGTACCTCCTCTACACTGAAAACGAAATTAACTCAGAGAGTGAGTCACTTTTACTCAGTTGCGAGTAGCTTTTACTCATTCATATGGATACATTTCTAAAAGCGTAGGTCACTCAGCGCATGTATAACCACACATTTAGAAGTACCTAATTTTACACGTGTCGGAATCCATCTTTGACATAAAAGATGAGACGTTAACAAACATGTCATGTAAAATTAAGTTCAAAATTTCAAATGTTACGTGACGTTAGTAACTTTGACCTGCATTACACGTCGTGTCCACTAAAAATGTTAGTTAAATTGACTGCATATTCAAAATTTTTCAGCAGCTTGCTGCAAACGTTGGACGGTAATTAATTAATTTATTTATGGTTATATGTAGCCTTTTCTAATTTTATAATTTAAGACGGTGGCATCATCGTTTTAAGTCTGCAAACAGGTGTTAATACATAGTTCAAGATGCTAATTTTAAATAACAGACTAGAGTGGTAATTTTTATACGATAGATTAGGAGATGAAAGTATAGCGTTGATAGTTCCATTAAAGTACGGCAGTGTGAAATTGTTTATATAGAGAGTAGAAAGCAGGCAAGGACAACTTTTATGAATGAAGGTACAAATCGGTTTGATCGTTTTGGTAAAGAGAGATGATCAAACCGATTTGTACCTTAATTCATAAAAGTTGTCCTTGCTCGTTTTCTACTCTCTTTATAAACAATTTGCCGTACTCTAACGGAACTATAAACTCTATACTTTCATCTCCTCATCTATCGTATAAAAATTACCATTCTGGTCTGTTATTTGAAATTAACATCTTCAACTATGTAAATTGTTGACTTCACGCTGAAGTAATATTAAACAAATAGTTAAAGGTGTTAATATTTTGTCAGAAATAAAATAACTCACACGTTTCTACCTTATAATAATCAATAAGTAAATAGTTTACAATTTTTTGAGTCGATATACGTATTAATTTAAACACGTGAAATTTATATCTTCCAGATAAAATTGCATAATATTGACTGCTTATATATATACGTCCCATTATTCTCATTAAAAATTCACGGACAAATAACATGAAAAGCATTTTAAACAAAACGGAATGTCACGTAAAAGTTACCAGATATCCAGTAGTTTTCATCTCGATTTCACGTAAGCAGTACGTGAAAATCAGGTCTTATTTACCTTACTAATCATGTAGATAATCGAAGCTGAATTTTGATCGGATACGTGCAATTCCAGTAAAAGTTTCGAAAATCACCTATGTTTTCACGTTAATCAGACGTGAAGGTTTGTCTGAGTGTAGTTTGAAAGCTAGTAAAATTTTCATTCGGAAAGGAGACAAAAATCTTTAAGTTTTTGGTGGCTGAATTTTAGACATTATTTAAAGGTTTGGTCAGGGTTTTAAATACACCAGTATGAATAAGGGATCGTCCATTAATTATGTCACACTTTAAGGGGGGTATTGGAAATTTAGACAAGTCGTACAAAACAAATTAAGGTCCATACGAAAAAATGTCACGAAGGGGGTGGGGTGGTTCGAAATGGACCTAATATGCGTGACATAATTAATGGACCTTCCCTAAGATTAATCTATACATAAGACGGCACCCATAAACTACGTAACGCTTATAAGGAGGGGGGATGGTAACCTATATCTTTACGAATTGAGTTCTCCAAGCCGGATCTCACGAACACTACACTATGATATAATTTTACACACACTAACGTATACTGGTCATGTACACGGTAAGAATCATACATCCATTTATGAGTAAACGTTAACCCATTGTCAGTAAAAGTTGCACTACTCATTAATGAGTAATTTAGTATACCCATTAATTAGTAACTGTTAGCAGCAACTCATTATTGTTAAAATAATTTACTTATTAATGATTAAAGCCACTTTTATTGAAAATGGGTAAAGTTTTACTCATAAATGTGTATTTGATTCTTACCGTGCATCAGTAGAGTTTGTTTTCGTTTTGTTGTTTATTTTTATTTTCGAATGGGGGCGACCCCGGCGTAGTGGTTAACATCCATACCATCCATATATATATACGTTGCGAACAATTTAAAAATTATTAAGTTCTGAAAAAATAAGTCTTTGGGGACTAATTTTGACAGGGATCGCACAGTAATTTATATATAAAATAAATGTCAAATTTATGGGACGAATGTGAGATCATTAGGAAGGATGTGAATAGAGAATTTGCAAACCTACAAAAAAGTAAAGGAAGACCTAGATCTTTGAGAGGCATTCTCGAAAAAACTTAAAAATTAAAAGAATCCGGTATAAAATTTGAAGCTAATGTGCAAAAGTTACAACACAGGGGCAATACTGACGAATGGAATGGACTTGCAGATAATCTAATTGCAATTCAATTTAAAATTAAAGAGTGCGTAAAAATATTGAATGAAACCCCTATCATCCAAGAAAATAGTAAAGGGAAAAGGAACCCAAAAACACTTGGATCTCTAAGAAACACGTGAAGGGCGTCAGAGAGTGATAATACTCTCAACGTACCAACATTTAATTTCGAAAAGAAAAGTAATTCAACAGAAAATTTAACAATGCCAGAAGTAGTCAATTATGAATTCCCAATGGTAACCGCTATTCAATGTATTCCGGAATTCCATGGGAAACCGGAAGAGCTTCGGCCCTTCCTAATTCAAATAGATTACTTCCCAAAAGGAATCCCAGAAAACGATCGAAAATGATTATATGGAACCTATGTTGGTGCCAGTAAAAAGAGCTGCAATTGAAACGGCTACCAAAAATAATAGGGGGTTGCCCATCAAAATAAAATGGTAACCTGAGAATAATTAATAAAAAAGAACAAAATACTTTGCAATAAAGGGAACAATAGAGTGAACATTGAATTTAACAGTCAAAAACCACCCTTGAAATCAAGATACAAAGAATATGACGTACTGTTAGACTGATAAATGTCGTATGAAGAATTAACAAGAGGCATAGGGTAGAGCACTATTTCGTCGTAATCGCCCATTTCCGTTCTATCGATCAGAAAAGATCAATAATATCAATTATTTCACCGTACACAAATCAATAATAGATGTGTTCCGATAAGTTAGTTCATTAGCTACAACATACATCCTATTGGAGTGCATTATATGAATATTTACGCTCATTGTTCTCAAAACAAAAGAAGCGCTCCTAGCTAATCCTCTTTTTCTACGTTTATCCATAGGACGAAGAAAATCTAATGGCGTTTCAATGTGTTTAGACGGAATTGAAACTCGTAGGACGAATTTAGAATCAAGAAGCAGTATTAGATTTTAAACAATATCTCAATAATTTGTGACTCTTTATCAAATTCAGTAGTACGTATGGAAAGGTGAATAAATTTAGAAGTCATATTTGACAACAATATTCCATTTTTTGTTCAAACCCGTTCAAAAAAGAGAGGTCAAACGCGGGTTGTGCATCAAAAACCCTACCACCATTGAAATGAAGATTTTGATATGCTGTATGAGCCTACAGCTATTTTATAACAAATAATGCGTCCATCAATCGCTATTATAGCTTTTGAATGTACCGAAGAGCTGAAATTCCCAGAATAGTTTAGTATTTCTGTAAGGGCCATAGTACACATTAAAAAAAAAAAAAGATTTTAATTGGTTTTGTCAAAGAATCCCGAGGATACTTTAATGAGAGATGTTTTTAATAATAAATTTTTTGAAAGATATTAATATATCACTCTAAGTATTTTACAGTTCTTACCTAGGACCATCACAGTGAGTGGGGGTAGAATGACACAGCAAGCTCCTCCCAAAAGTCTTCAAAGCAGGAAAAGACAGAATTTTTTTTTTAAATTGAGTTTTGTTTAGAAGAACTTTGATTGTTTTTGTTTTTTATGGTTTTCATGGTTTGTAGACAATGGGCGTAACACGTTTTTATATTTTTGAAAATTTAGGCTTTTCTACACAACACATCAAAAAATCAGCGATGTATTTGTCTTCGTTTTTGAGTTACGATTTTTTGAAATTATCATGTTTAGAAATTTCGCTCATTACTCCAATACGACTAGATTACCCTGCGTCTCCATTGGTACATAGCTGACATAGTCACATAATCCATATCAATTTTTGGCTTCTGCTTTTATAGGCTTGTTTATTCAAAGTGAATACACCAAGTAAATAGCTGCTTAGACAGAGCACATGCTAAAATCATACGGAAAACTTGGTTGGTAAGGTGTTCGTTCGTAGGTACAATGCATGGTGTTATATTTAAGGATGAACTTAGAAGTGAAATAATAAGTAAAGAAACAAAAGCTCTGTTAATCCAAAGATATTCTGTACAGCCAGTGTTTTATAAACGATGAATTTTAAGTGTTCTTGTTGTTGTTTGTGGGTTTCAAATGCTTTAAAGAGGAATCTTACCCAAGCTCTTCGAGTTCATGCGGTGAAGAAGAAAGTGAAATTAGATGGCAGTTCCTTCATATGCAGAAATTGCTACCTCAAACTGTATAAAACCGCACCCGAAGAGCCCACCGCTGGACCATCCGGAGTTCCTGCTGTCAACAGCCAAGGTGAATATTGTATTTAAAAAATGTATTTACATTGGTAGCCATGAGTCAAACGAGCATGACGTCACATTATAGCATTCTGAAAACTTTGTAACGTCAGGCTCGTATGTAGTGTAGTGTTTACAGTAATATCAAATATATTTTTTTAACTTCATTTTCAGAGTCACTAGAAACACCCAGTTTACAATCGATCAGAAGTACTGACAGTGTGCCTACTACAAACGATGATGAAATCGTTCAGCAACTCAAGGAAAAGTTTCTAGAAACTCATGATAATAATGGGAAGTATCGCATTCTCACGACTTTACCTAGAAGCTGGTCAGCATATAAAATAACGAAGGAATTCGGTGTTTCTCAATATATGGCGGATCGGACCAAAACACTACAGGAGGACAAGGGGATAATGACGACACCAGGAAGAAAGCTGAGCAGGGTTAGCAGGTTAGCAGAAGAAACTTTATCACTCGTGTGTGATTTCTATACCAGTGACGAAATAAGTCGAGCCTGTCCAGGAAAACGCAACTATGTTATTACAAAAATGTTGATGGTAAGGTTTATATACAACGAAGATTAGTATTGTGTAATTTGCAAGAAGTTTATGCCATTTTCAAGGATCAATATCCCGCAACTAAAATAGGGGTTTCAATGTTTGCAAGTAACCGCCCTAAGCATTACATTCTGGCAGGAACGAGTGGCACACATACTGTTTGTGTGTGTGTTTACCACCAAAATGTTAAATTAATTTTTAAAACTCTTCAAGATAGAAAGTCACTTCCAGTCGGGCATGGAAAATCATTTGCATTCATTTTATACATTCATTTACATTCATTTGCCTCTAACTTTTGTCATCAACAGCAGTAGGTACTGTTATTAGCTACAACTTTTGTTAACAAGTCAAATCCGTATCTCTGATGCATGACTAACAAGACCGAACAGAAGCCACTACTGTTTTTCAGTGAATGTATTTAACATTCACTGAAAAACAGTAACAAGTTCTGCCCGCTCTAGATACAGATTTGAGTTATGAGCAAAAGTTGTAGCTAATAACAAAACCTACAAAAGCTTTATACATCATTTTGCGAAATGCAGTTGATGACAAAAGTTAGAGGCAAATGAATGTAAATGAATGTATGTAATGAAATGAATGCAAATGATTTTCCATGCCTGCTTCCAGCTGATGTGAAATCTTACCATTGCTTGTTTTTTAAAATTATTTGCACCAACCCCACAGAACAGTTTTGGTTAAAATGTGTGAACATTGCACAGGTATACAAAATTTGACTTCAGAAATGGTTACTATCCTGACCGATGGAAATGTGGAATCCTCAAAATTTAAACAATGGCGTCAAGCTGACCGTTGTATCATGGATTTAGTGGAGTTGGAAACTCAAGAGTTTATAGACATGTTTTTGGAAAAGTTATCCGATTTATCACCACATAATTTCATAGCTGAACAACAAGGTAAATACTTGAAATACGTCAAAAGTAACTTGAAAGTAACGGAATGTATAGGGGAAACGCTCCTATAGTTGCGGTACGTTAGAAGCGTTAGGTTCCTATAGTTGTGTATGGAGTCTCCATACACAACTATAGGAACCTAACGCTTCTAACGTACCGCAACTATAGGAGCGTTTACCCTAATAATATGTGATTCTTCTGAAAAATTTTCATTTGTTGTACAAGACGCTGTACAAGGATTTCATTGCGCAAACGCACAGTGCACTATACATCCATTTGCTATTTATTATAGAGATGATCATACCAAAGATTTAATGTTTACTAGTTTCACTGCAATCGCGGAGTTTACCAAGCACAACCATGTTTCAGTTCGATAATTCGTAGTTAATTGTATAAATTTCATCAAGAGTAAGATACCCAGCCTTAAGAAAATTCACTTTTTCTCAGATGGATCAGGCAGTCAGTACAAAAATAAGATGACAGCTTTTAATTTGTGCCATTTGAAAAAGCATTTTGGTATAGATGCGGAGTGGAACTTTTTCGCCACATGCCACGGTAAAGGTCCATGTGATGCTTTGGGAGGAGTCTTGAAACGAAATGCTGCTAAAGCAAGTTTGCAGGGGCATCTCATTACAACTGCTAAAGAGCTTTATACATGGGCAATTTCTAAAATCGATTCAAAAATACACTATGGCTTTTTTCAGACGCAGATCATAAAGTGCTGGAAAGAAAACTTAAAACTCGTTATAATCGTGTCAAACAAATTTCCGGAACACAGTCATATCATACTTTTAGGCCAGAAAATGAAAATTATATTATTGTGAAACGATTCTCGTTCTCAGAAGAAGACCATTCTGTGAAACTATGAAAATATCTTTAAGCATGTTTTATGTCTACAAATAAAAAAAAAATAATGAATTTTATTTCAAACCAGCTATGGGTAAAGTTGGAAACCATAAGATTGTCTTATCAAAGTATTGATTCTAGTCCAAATATGGACTAGATATGGAGTTCCAAACAGTCCGTGAAAGATGTACTAACCAAATTTAATATAAATATTTTCTATTTGAATTCCTATGCTATGAATCCCTGTAGTAATTATTATTTACACATAACGCAAAAGCAATCAATAAATTTGATTCAAGTTTCTATGAATGTCATGGTAGTCTAGGATCAGAAATTGAAATAAGTAAGTAATGTAACCATGTTACATTCGATATGTATCAATGGAGACGCAGGGTAATCTAGTCGTATTAGAGTAATTTCAAAATATCATAACTCAAAAACGAAGACAAATGCATCGCTGATTTTTTGACATGTTGTGTAGAAAAACCTTAATTTAAAAAAAAAATATAAAAACGTGTTACGCCCATTGTCTACAAACCATGAAAACCTTAAAAAAAAACAAATACAATCAAAGTTCTTCTATACAAAACTCAAATTTAAAAAAAAAATATATATATATTTTTTCAACCTTTTTTTATATATATTTTTTTAACCTTTTTTTTTTTGATATTTTGATCATTCAAATAGCTTCAATGGTTCAAAAGTTATGATTTTTTAAAGAATGCCATTTTTGGAAAAAAAATAGAAAAAAATCGATTTTTTGGACCATCCTAACAGGAAAATGGTCACCCTAATGAGAAGTTAAAAAAATACGGGTCTAATATTTTTCGCACCGACAAATCGACATGAATGACCATAGCTAAAACAATAAAATTTCTGGCCAAAGCACACTTCTGACATCTGGCTCCGTGTTCGCGGGAAATATTTAGCTAAGCCCTGAAACCGCATGCAAAAGCTATGAATTGGTTCGTGTCTGATCTATTCTGGACAAATTATTTTTATCTAGATCAAAAACTCCTATGGTTTTGACAGGTCGGATTGCACATTTAAATCGGCCGTTTACGATTTTCGGGCATAAGTTCGAATGAAGTGTCATGTCGGTTTGTCTGTGATATAACGTAATTGGCTCTATGGAGTTTTTTGTTTAGATTTTATAATATCCTTCCGTGTGCTTTACATACATTTTACCCTATTAGCTATATGCAACAGCCTTATTTATAAATGACCAACGATATACTAAATTAAAATGCAACACCAAGGACATGAAGTCCTTGAATGTCCTCTTATTTGATAGATTTGACTACTTTGCAACTTCTCGGGCCCACATCTGACGATCGATTCAATGTACGGTGTTTCAAATTAATTCCATGTTTCCTGCAGATAAGCAAGCAACAATTTAAATCTTCAGATCTGAATACCTTCTAGATGTTTAGATTAGTGGCCATGAATACGGGAAAAATGTTCTCAATTTCCACTCACAGTTGCACAGTTAGTGATGTGATGAAAATTACCTTGGAAATCATCCAACCATGGTGGTTGTTGGTAGTGCTCCGTTGCCAGGACTCCTGTGTTCAAAAATACCAGAACTATGATGAGCCAATAGAATGCCTGTGATTTAACTGCTTTACGGCAAGCTCTTCGTAACCGACGATTTACTCGATCTATATTTTTGCGTTTTCTTGCACACCAAGATTCTTGTTGAATTTCACCTTCTTCTCCCACATGGTCTGAAGAATCAATTTCATTCACTGCCATCGTTTTGCCTTCTTGCACGACGTTTGCTTCATTTTCTGGGTCTATATCTTCGGCTTGTGTAATCCAATCTAAGTATCCTCTCAGGTCTTCTTCAATTTGCTGTTTCTCTCGTAGCTTCTGGAAATCTCCTCGATTTTTCGCCTTTGTTCTCTCCTTTGAAAATTCACCGCTAAGGACACCAAGAATAAGGTTCATGACAAAAAAGGCACCCAAGATAACCATGGATATAAAATACACCCATTGCCACGTGCTGCCCATAGCATCTTGGATCTGAAAAAAAAACGATAATTATTCACACAGCAAGAAAAACAAATCAGAATTATAAGGTGATTCCTTGAAGCGTCCAACAATGTCCGTCATGATGGTTGATATGCCCTATCACTTCAAGTTTTCTAGAGCACAAACCTAGGGCACTGTTGCGATATTGCTCATGAAATTAGAACTCCAAACGTAGATATCCAGTTTAATTGATGTATGTTTTTTGAGAGCTGATATTTATGCTCTTGAAATTTCGAGGTGGCTATAAGATTTCCACAGCACGTAAAATATAACAAAGATAAATATGGTGGTATTGATATTCTTATAGTGGCTGTGCCCATAAATGCATAACAGTCCTAAACTTTTTGACAAAAATTAGTTATCTTCTGGAATCGATTGTAAACTACCTGTATTTTAATATGTGCACATTGAGTGAACTGTTCTGTTCTGAAAATATCGTCAAAAATACCAAAACATGGTTGTCCCAGCCATAAAACACAATGAAAGAAAAAATAATAAATAAACTGTCCATTCAAAGTGTTTTTATGTTACTTCATACGCGAAGTTTGCGATTTTCAGAGTTGGTTTAAATGCTATCTAACATGAAGCTTTAGTGTGATAATTTATTAGCTAGAGAATGGTCTTTAGAAGAGGGTAGGTAGATAGTTCCGTTAGAGTACGGCAGTATGAAAATTGAATAGAAGTTGAAAATGAGCGAAGGGCCATTAATGTGACAGTACAAAGTCAAACGCACACCTAACCCGTACACATCGTAAGCTGAGATTTGAAGTATGTCTTCAAATCTACAGGCAAAAAGTGTGCGCCCGCCTTTGCTCATTACTGTCTACGCCTGTGGAATAGTTCTAGCGACGTTCCATCACTACCTTTGTACTGTCTCATTTTCAACTTCTATTAAATTTTCATACTGCCATACTCTAACGGAACTATCTACTTACCCTCTTCTAAGGACCATTATCTAGCTAATAAATTTTCACACTAAAGCTTCATATTAGATAGCATTTCCAACCAACTCTGAAATAAACTGTGTTTTTCTAGGTTTGCTCTTTTTACACATGTAACTGTAATGCGTTTATGGGCAGTATACACATCCTAAATATTTTGCTCGTGTGGTGGCTGCTTAATTCTATGTTCAGACTACAGAGTTTTAACCAAGGTTGCAAATACTAATTTCAGCTAAAATAATGTTTTTCGGAATAATAAAACCAAAAGATGGTATGATGGCATGTTTTACTTGTAACTTACAAGAAGAGGTTACAAAGTATGCGTTTGAAACATAAATTTTGCTTTCTATGAGTCACAATCAGCAATTTTCTGATCGCTGAGTGAGTGAGTGAGTGAGTGAGTGTGTGAAAAATCGCTGATTGTGACTCTCATGAAGTGAAATCAACAGGTTTAATATGTCAAACACATTCTTTGCAACCTCTTCTTGTATCCTACCAATTCAAAATATGATTATGGCATCTAATTATTTATAATTTAAAAAAAAAAACATTGTTTTAGCTGAAATGAGTATTTGCAACCTTGGTTGTAACATTTTATAATAATTGATATTAAAAAAAAACATCAAAATAGTCTTATAACATATTATTAATGTTAAATTTACTATGATGCATTTTCGTAAAATTCAAAAGCAGTTTTTTGAACGCATCATTGCAGATTGCAAAAAGCTCTCGTCATTCTATTCTCCAGTCTGATCCTAAGTATAGCAGAATAATAATTGGATGGGAGGTGATATTTTAGATCTAATTTCTAAACAACTAATTCAAGCACAAACTTTTAAATAGACTTAACTGCTTTTGTAAACAAACAAACATAAACCGGTAGGAGACAGTTTTCCTTACGTGATGGATGTGTATTAAACTTTGTATAATTGTGTATTATTGGTAATCATTTCCATTTTTGTAATAAATCGACTATTTTGGATACCTTATTTTTGCCTTAATTTGTTTTCCGTAGATCTTGTTTTCCGTACTGAGTACTAATGCTACCGACGCCAGGAAGGCAGCTCCCACATCTGCATCCTTCCTATCGACCCAACAACTCATGTACCGGGGACCAACGGCTTTACTTCCCGTGATCAGAGTGTTATGCCTCAGAATCAGCTAAAAATTAGCGCATGAAAAATGCAAACTTTAGAAATAAGAACCATATATACTTGAAAATTGACAAAAATCATAGAACAAGAACTTTTGCCTACATATAGGAAATGGATGTAATGTCGGCCTACATGCCTCTAATTTGGGTCCATAATTTCAGCAATCGACTAAATTTTCAATAGCGACCAAAAATATTCATTAGTACCGTCCCATAAAAAAATTGATAAATAGCAGAGAGCGGTACTATTTTTTATGTAATTTCTGGACATAAAACAATATTTGAGGCATTTAAACCGTATTCTGTGTAAAAATAACATAAAAAAGCTTGTAAAGAAAAAGTTTAAAAATATAACAAAAAGTTGATGTTCTACGATTTTTGTCAATTTTCAAGTGTCCATGGTTTTAAATTGCCCTAAAGTTTGTAATATGAATTATAAATATTGAAGATTTACTCTATTCAATATTTGAGTTTTAACACTTTTATCTCAAAATTAATTGTTTATTTTCCCCAGATAGCCTTTTCTTTTCTTAACAACTATGTCTCAGAAGTCATTTCGATCAGAAGTAACGTTTTTGTATCAATTTATTGTCAAATATGCCATTTTTAAAATTTTACAAGATCCAAAATGCCTGAATTTTTGTAAAATGTGAATGATTGCCCATAACAAACTAACTGGAACTGCTCAGGATGAGCAGCGGTTAAGACAAATGGACAGTTGTTTACAAAAGTAGTTACGTCTATTTAAAAAAAACGTTACCTATCACAATACTTACGTAATATAGCATATCAGTCCAGCCTTCCAAAGTTACACATTGAAAAACTGTCAGCATGGATAGTCCAAAATTGTCAAAATTCGTTATTCCAAAATTTGGACCTTCCCAATAGTAACGGCAAATCATTTCTGGTGATATGCTTCCACACTGAAATCCATCATCTCCACAGGGATGGGGCTCATCCATAATTTCACCTTGAAAAAAAATATATCAAAATCCACACCGACTACGATTGTTTCAAAATATACTACCTGTACTGTTGTGGAAACATGTCTTATGAAGTTTTCCGGAAAATAGTTCGAGTCCTATGATGGCATAAATGATGATCACAAATAAAACCAAAAGGGCGATGTGTAATAAAGGCACCATGGCACGAAGAATTGAGTTCAGTACAACTTGTAAGCCTGCAGACAAAAAAAAAAGTTTTAAAATAAAACGATGTATTGTCACTAAAGTGCAAAGGTGCAGTTCGCTAGTATATTGCCGCTCATCGCATGTTGGTCCCCTTTACGTTTTTGTCAAAACTGTTTTTTCAACGGAGATCCCATATTTTCATAATACTAGATGAACTCAACAACTTTGTTCTGGATAAGTTTGGAAAAATAGCCAAACGGTTTGTCCCATTTCTTAAAAAAGCAATAGAGCATTTCTAGCTCAAATCGTTAAAAAAAATGTCAATTTTGTCTCGACCCCTTCTGATTTGAATGAAACATTACTCGCGTGTTCGCTGCTACTAATGGTTGCATTTTTCATTTAAATATGATTTTTTCCTCCAGAGTAACTTTTGAAAAGGGCGTATAAAAAAATGGATTATTTTTTTTTCAAAAAATCATAACTTGAAAACTATTGATCTGATTAAAACGGCATATGAGAAGAAGTTTTAGGTAATTAAATTATCTTTGCGGAAAAAATACACTGAAAGAAAAAACTTCGTAAATTAGTATTTAAAAAACGTAAAACGATGATTATCTCAAAACACCCCCCCTTCGATATTTATATTTTTTTTTTTCAAAAAAACTGAAATAATGCCCTAATATTTGGTGAAAAGTGTATGCTGGTAACTTTCTTAAAAAGAAGTATTACCATAGAGGTAACTCTAAGACCACTGGGTCCCGAAGAAAATCATTATTATTTTTGGCTCACTCAGTACCAGAACAACGGTCCCAAGCAGTCCCAAGCTATTTCACTCACACACATAACACGCGACGCGAGACAAGACACAACACTTATCGTTCTTACAACATTTAAAACGGATTAAAAATTACCTTTCTGTCGACCGGTTTCGGGCGCGATGCTGCCCATCTACGGGACAATGTCCGACTGGTTACAATAGGATTGCTACGCTGTTGTGTAGACGTCCAGAGAAGAGAGTTGTTACTGTATTTTCAGCTTCGTCAAGTTGAACAAAGATGATGTGATGGGAGGATCATCTTCATTCATCAGTGGTTCCTGTGTGTTGTTGATATGCATTGATTCCCATGCATTGAGGTGTGAGGGTTTTCGTACTGTTTTGATGAGCTTCGCACTTTTCCAATCAATTTGATGATTGGAGGCCGTCGTGTGCGCCGCCACAGCTGAATCGTTTGATTTCTTGTTGTCGACAGCATTTTTGTGTTCTTTAAGGCGAACTTTTACTTTGCGACGAGTTTGTCCGATGTACACCGAGGGACAATCCTGGCAGGGAATTCGGTAAATTCCAGACTGCTCATCCGCCGGAATCTTGTCCTTAAGGTTATACAACAGGTCGCGTAGAGTGTTGTCGCTTTTGTGTACTATGTGTAGTCCTTGACGTTTGAGTGTGTTTTTGATTGGGTTTGTGACTTTTGGATAAAATGGTAGGCTAATCCTCTTAGCTTCATCCCTCTCCGGCTGTAGTGTGGTTATGTTCTGTAGGCGTTTCTTGCGTTTGTGTTTTTGTAAAATTTTGCTGGTGAACTCCTTTTCGTATCCATTTACTTCCGCCGTCTTGTAGATACGTTCCTTTTCTTCAGCGAACTCTTCTTCCTCCATAGGTACATTATAGAGACGGTGTGCCATAGAGTGGAAGGCGGCTTGCTTTTGAGCGCCGAAGTGATTGGAGTCCGAGGTGATGTATCGATCAGTGGATGTCGGTTTTCGGTAAATACCGAATTTCAACGTGTCGTCCTCCTTTCTGGTGACCATCAAATCTAGAAAGGGCAATTTTCCATCCACTTCTCTTTCTACTGTGAACTTAATTGAGCTGTGGCGGGAGTTCAGCATGTTCAGTGTCTGCTCTAGGTAGCGTTCCTTCACCGGTGCGAAGATATCATCAACATAGCGCCGCCAGACTCGAGGGAAAAACTTTTGCTTTTCAGCATCTACCTCAAAGTCGCTCATGAAGACGTTCGCCAGAAGGGGTGAAAGTTTGCTACCCATACTAAGACCAAACGTTTGCCTATTGAACTTCCCTCTAAATGTGAAAAAATTCTGATTCATACACACCTCAGCCACTAGAAGGTAGGCCTGAATATGATGGTGTGGCACCCGACTACGTTCTAAATGTCGGCGCAGGCTTCTCAAGGCGTCGGCGATTGGTACGCTTGGAAATAGTGACGCAACGTCAAACGATACCAAGATCTCACCTCGTCTTACCTTGCATCCTTCTAGCTGTTGTACGAAATCTACAGAATTTTTCACACTTTTGCCGTGTGTGACGGGGTACTGCTTCATCTCCTCTACCAGCCAAGCTGCCAATTTTTCGGTGGGTGTACGGATGTTTGATGAAATGTGTCGCATTTCAACTGGATTCTTGTGGATCTTCGGTAGGCAGTACAGCGATGCCACCGTCGGGTTGGGAACGTGAAATTTCCGTATGAGTTTTTCTTCACCCATTAAACGCGCTACATTCTGCCGAGCGAAATTCGCTTCGTCGATCATCACATTCAGCGGGTCTTTGGATTTGCCGTTTTTAAATTTATATTCTTCATACGGGCCGGTTTCGATCATTGCACGGACGCGAGAGTCGTAATCTTCCCTGTCCATAATCACTACCGCGTTTCCCTTGTCCGCACGAGACTAGATGACGTCACGTGTTTTCAACAACCGAATCGTACACCAAGTTTCAAAATTGGGACGGTCTGTGCTATTCTGTTTACCAGCCGTTCGTGAAATGCATTGCTGGACATTGTGACGCGTTGCCGATTTGAACCCGTGTTGGTCATATTGAATGGCACTTTCAATGTTATTCACAATGTCAGAAAGGGGGGCACAGTGGGGGGAAACCGCAAAATTCAACCCTTTGTTCAGCAGATCGAGCTCTGCCTGCGTGAATTGCGTGGAAGAGAGGTTCACTACAAAATTATCGATGGTCTGTGGCGAACATCTTGTTTTTCCCGGTGCCTGTGTGTCTTCGAGAGAGCGCAATTTTCGACGGTGCCGCTGTTTCGTTGTTCTCACACGTTTTTCTAGATTCTGATTTAAACTACACAGAACTTTTTACCAACACTCTTTCTTCTCTTCTGCACATCTATACACAATGCACTTGGCTGTAGAGTGGTACTCCCTTTCTTGAAGTAGTCGCATATGGAGTGGATATAATTGCTCTTCCGCAGCGGACAACTGCTTATGCTTCAGAGTTGGTTGGAAATGCTAACATGAAGCTTTAGTGTGATGATTTATTAGCTAGAGAATGATCTTTAGAAGAATGTAGGTGGATAGTTCCGTTAGAGTACGGCAGTATGAAAATTGAATAGAAGTTGAAAATGAGCGAAGGGCCATTAAAGCGACAGTTTTCAAGATGACGCACATTTTTGCCTAGCCCGTACGATGTACGCGGGGACTTGAAGTATGTCTCCAAGTCCACAGGCAAAAATGTGCGTCCCTCTTGTTGCTCATAAACTGACTGCGGCTGTGGAATAGTTCTAGCGACGTTTTCATCACTACCTAAAGCCCCACGTCGCGAGAGCATTTCCAGTCGATGGTGTGTTATAATGCAGTTCTTCTTTACCCAACTATTGTGTTGCTCCTCTCGTCATGACCAACGTGATCATCTCAGAGAGAAAGCAGTAGGGTGGTTGTTGCGTGCTGTACCATCATCAGCATTGTTGACGGCTACTCCCGCCTTGAGTTGTTACATTCAAAGTGTTTTTTATGTTACTTCATACGCGAAGTTAACGATTTTCAGAGTTGGTTGGAAATGCTAACATGAAGCTTTAGTGTGATGATTTATTAGCTAGAGAATGATCTTTAGAAGAATGTAGGTGGATAGTTCCGTTAGAGTACGGCAGTATGAAAATTGAATAGAAGTTGAAAATGAGCGAAGGGCCATTAAAGCGACAGTTTTCAAGATGACGCACATTTTTGCCTAGCCCGTACGATGTACGCGGGGACTTGAAGTATGTCTCCAAGTCCACAGGCAAAAATGTGCGTCCCTCTTGTTGCTCATAAACTGACTGCGGCTGTGGAATAGTTCTAGCGACGTTTTCATCACTACCTAAAGCCCCACGTCGCGAGAGCATTTCCAGTCGATGGTGTGTTATAATGCAGTTCTTCTTTACCCAACTATTGTGTTGCTCCTCTCGTCATGACCAACGTGATCATCTCAGAGAGAAAGCAGTAGGGTGGTTGTTGCGTGCTGTACCATCATCAGCATTGTTGACGGCTACTCCCGCCTTGAGTTGTTACATTCAAAGTGTTTTTTATGTTACTTCATACGCGAAGTTAACGATTTTCAGAGTTGGTTGGAAATGCTAACATGAAGCTTTAGTGTGATGATTTATTAGCTAGAGAATGATCTTTAGAAGAATGTAGGTGGATAGTTCCGTTAGAGTACGGCAGTATGAAAATTGAATAGAAGTTGAAAATGAGCGAAGGGCCATTAAAGCGACAGTTTTCAAGATGACGCACATTTTTGCCTAGCCCGTACGATGTACGCGGGGACTTGAAGTATGTCTCCAAGTCCACAGGCAAAAATGTGCGTCCCTCTTGTTGCTCATAAACTGACTGCGGCTGTGGAATAGTTCTAGCGACGTTTTCATCACTACCTAAAGCCCCACGTCGCGAGAGCATTTCCAGTCGATGGTGTGTTATAATGCAGTTCTTCTTTACCCAACTATTGTGTTGCTCCTCTCGTCATGACCAACGTGATCATCTCAGAGAGAAAGCAGTAGGGTGGTTGTTGCGTGCTGTACCATCATCAGCATTGTTGACGGCTACTCCCGCCTTGAGTTGTTACATTCAAAGTGTTTTTTATGTTACTTCATACGCGAAGTTAACGATTTTCAGAGTTGGTTGGAAATGCTAACATGAAGCTTTAGTGTGATGATTTATTAGCTAGAGAATGATCTTTAGAAGAATGTAGGTGGATAGTTCCGTTAGAGTACGGCAGTATGAAAATTGAATAGAAGTTGAAAATGAGCGAAGGGCCATTAAAGCGACAGTTTTCAAGATGACGCACATTTTTGCCTAGCCCGTACGATGTACGCGGGGACTTGAAGTATGTCTCCAAGTCCACAGGCAAAAATGTGCGTCCCTCTTGTTGCTCATAAACTGACTGCGGCTGTGGAATAGTTCTAGCGACGTTTTCATCACTACCTAAAGCCCCACGTCGCGAGAGCATTTCCAGTCGATGGTGTGTTATAATGCAGTTCTTCTTTACCCAACTATTGTGTTGCTCCTCTCGTCATGACCAACGTGATCATCTCAGAGAGAAAGCAGTAGGGTGGTTGTTGCGTGCTGTACCATCATCAGCATTGTTGACGGCTACTCCCGCCTTGAGTTGTTACATTCAAAGTGTTTTTTATGTTACTTCATACGCGAAGTTAACGATTTTCAGAGTTGGTTGGAAATGCTAACATGAAGCTTTAGTGTGATGATTTATTAGCTAGAGAATGATCTTTAGAAGAATGTAGGTGGATAGTTCCGTTAGAGTACGGCAGTATGAAAATTGAATAGAAGTTGAAAATGAGCGAAGGGCCATTAAAGCGACAGTTTTCAAGATGACGCACATTTTTGCCTAGCCCGTACGATGTACGCGGGGACTTGAAGTATGTCTCCAAGTCCACAGGCAAAAATGTGCGTCCCTCTTGTTGCTCATAAACTGACTGCGGCTGTGGAATAGTTCTAGCGACGTTTTCATCACTACCTAAAGCCCCACGTCGCGAGAGCATTTCCAGTCGATGGTGTGTTATAATGCAGTTCTTCTTTACCCAACTATTGTGTTGCTCCTCTCGTCATGACCAACGTGATCATCTCAGAGAGAAAGCAGTAGGGTGGTTGTTGCGTGCTGTACCATCATCAGCATTGTTGACGGCTACTCCCGCCTTGAGTTGTTACATTCAAAG